TGCCGTTGGTTGAACAGTTCGGCGACCCGATTTCCGCATTCATTGTTTTTGAAAAAAAGCTCAATAATTTCTACTCTTTCTGGAATTGAGTACACCATAATTAATCAATTTAAAAGACTCGGCAGTATTGGTACTCTTCAACTACAAGTCACAAGACAGTTACTCTAGCATTAGTCTAGCAACTTCTTGTGGCCTATCTAAATACGAAACAAAAAGCGGCCAATTTTTTGCTCACCAAAATCAGGCTAAACAATACACAAATCAGAACTGAAGAAATTGAAATAAAATTGGAAGATAGTTGGGATGTACAGGAGAAATATAATAACACTGATCAACAGTCCTATTTTAAATCTGAGGGGATTGAAATAAAGATCGAGGAATATCAGGATGGGTAAGAAATCAGTAAATTTTGTAATTTTAAAATTGTACACCTGCTTAATTTTTGGGTATGATAAATGAAAATTTAAAATTTGAGAAAATATCTACATGTTCTCTCTTTTGTCTTTTTTTTTTTTTGCAGAAATAGTTACTAATTTTTTAATTAGATTCTTTATAGTTACTAATTTGATTAAGAAGTCATTTTTTTCCCAATTTATACCCTATAAGTAACGGATGTCTTAGGTATTCTACAACTAAGTCGGGCCATCTCAGTCTAGATAGCAACATTAAGTATACTATTTACAAAGCTGCTTGTACTGGGTGTAACTAAAATAACTTTAATAACAAAAAATGTTTTTTTTTTAATTAAAAAAATCAACGTAGGCGGTGTCAAAAATGTATCCGGAATTTGTCATTTGAAAGGTCCTCGTAAAGTAAATTTAAATTTATTTTTTAATGGAAGGTATGTAGCACTGTACTCTATTCTGACACGAAGTTTAATTTTTATCTGTCAAATAGTTTGTTAATATAACAATTTTATTAGTCCACATAAACTGTGTTCCACGATTTTTACTATGGATAATGTTATTGAACAGTTTGCCTAAAATTTTGTGCTATCAATGGAATTTCTTGTGCTGAATTGTTGAAAATGTTGGAAAAAACGTACGGTAATTCAGTTTTATCTAAAACTCAAGCATACAAATGGTACAAAGCATTCGAACATGGTCAAGTGGTTGATGATTTGCCATATTCTGAAAGAGAACATGAATAAATTGAAGGAAATGGTATATACAAACCCTTATTATAGTTTGAGAGAGCTGGCATATGAACTAAACATATCTCATGAATCAGTTTGCACTATTTTAGTAGATCTTTTGGGTATGAAACGCGTTGCATAGTACAGCTGGTTCCAAAAGAGCTGAATTTTCTTTAAGAAAATACTTGAACGAGCTAATTTGGACTCTATATTTATGAAACGCATCATAACTGGTGACAAGACTTGGGTTTACGAGTTTGACATGCAAACCAGCCAACAAGCTTCTGAATGACACTTTTCTTATGCACCGAAATCAAAAGAACCACATCAAAGTGGATCAAAAATCAAAGTCATGTTTACTGTTTTCTTTGACTATTTAGTGTCCACACAGAATTCCATTCGGATGGAGAAACAGTCAACAAAGAATATTATTTGGGCTTTATCAGGCATTTGAAAGAGAGTATCTACTGTAAAAGACCACATTTATACAAGGACAATTCTTGGATTTTGCACCACGATAATGCGTCAGCCATGGGCGTAGCTAGGGGGGCAGGGGTGTGCACGGCCCACCCCACAAAGCCCAGTGCCCACCCCAGAAAAAAAAGATCTAATATGTATCATCATATTTGTCATATCGACAACTGCGTGTCTTTTTTTAGAATCAAATCAAATTTTATATCGGTTAAGTGGTTGATTGCGAGATTTTTTTTTAGGGGCCTCCATAGAACTTGCAGCCCTGGGCCCACCCCAAACAAAAATTGTAGCTATGCCCATGGCGTCAGCACACAAAGAGATAAAAAACTCAACGAATGTTATCGAGCAGCTTCTGCTGACATTTTCCTCCTTCCCAAACTCATATTATTATTTCATGGAACATGTTCCGATTCGATAGAAGCCATAAAACAAAAATATTTAATTTAAAATTAATTTAAAGTATTTCTTTAAATATCATTGGATCTTTGTGCCTGGAAAATCTGAACAGTGAAATTTACCAATATCAAAATAAATAGCTTTATTTGTATTGTGACTTGTCATTAATTTTTCGAAATGCTTATTTTGATTCAATTTCCTTTTAAAATTGTTTTTTGTTTTTCCAGTGATTCATCTTCATACCACTTAGATAATGAATTAGTAGAAGGCTTAGGAGAAATAGAAAATGAGCACATGCTTAAATGGGAGACAGAATTTAAAGAAAGTAACTTCCAAATACCCGCAAGTGAGAAGCCTGGATTTCAAAACTGTGAGCCTTCACTGGATAAGCAGTTCTACAGATGTGATCAATCAATACATATAGATTTCTCAGGAGTGAGAACGTACAGGTGTGACATGTGTAGTTATGAAACTAAATTTATGAGTTCTCTGAAAAAGCATCAGTTAATACACAAAGATTCTTCAGAAGTCCAAACGTACAAGTGTGATACATGTAGTTTTAAAATAACTAAGCAAACTAAGCATAAGAGTTACCTGAAAGTGCACCAGTTAACACACAAAAACCCTGCGGAAATCCAAATGTACAGATGTGATATGTGTGATCATAAAGCTAAACGTAAGAGACATATGAAAGCACATCAATTAACACACAAAATATAGAAAATATATTTCAGAAATCCAAATGTACAAGTGTGAAACATGTAGTTTTGATACTAAACATAAGAGTTACCTAAAAGTGCACCAGTTAAAACACAAAAATCCTTCAGAAGTTCCAATGTACATGTGTGATATATGCAGTTATAAAACAAAATGTATGAGTAATATGGAAATACACCAGTTAATGCACAAAGATCCTTCAGAAATACAAATGTACAAATGTGATAGGTGCAGTTATGAGGCTAAATTTAAGAGTCAATTGAAAATGCATCAGTTGTCACACAAAGTCCCTTCAGAAATACAAATGTACATGTGTGAAACATGTAGTTTTCGAACTAAATATAAACGTGACTTAAATAGGCATCAACTGGGGCACAAAAATAATTCAGAAATCCAAATGTACAAATGCGATAGTTGTACCTTCGAAACTAAACATAAGCGATATCTAAAAGCTCATCAATTAACCCACAAAAACCCTTCAGAGGTCCGCATGTACAAGTGCGATTTATGTAGTTATGAAACTAAACGTAAAAATCATTTGAAAAGACATCAGTTATCACACAAAGACCCTTTATAAATCCAAATGTACACCTGTTAACTTGAAACTTAAAATTTGAAACAATCCAACTAGACATCATTGAACACAATATTTTAGGAATGTAAGTTTACAAGCAATTATGGAGACTGCTTTTTAGTCAGTCAGTTAACCATGTAAGCTTTAAATGATAACAATAATAATAATACTGTAAAATTCACAAGTATAATTGTATAAGATGGTAATTGCACACCACTATTATACATCGAGATGTGAAAAAAATGTAAAAATAAAAGTTGAAAATACCATATAAATTTTTAAATACCTATCTTGCAAAAACAATTGAACATCGTGTTACTGAGATATGCATCTAATATACATTTTTTTTTTAATAGAACACCATTAAATATTTAGAACATTTTCTATGATTACAGTGATATTTTCATGTTTTGAAGTCTTGAACACAGTTAACGGGGGCAGTTTTTGAGTGGTCACTCTATACAAGAGCAGATTTGTATTTAACCTTTACAATGCATATATAGTATATTTTACAACTCGTTTACAATCTATGATTTATATAAAGTACATAAATAAAAACTCATCCTAAAATGTGTTTTATTTAAAAACTTGAACCCCTTAAATTAAGTCCTTAGGTGCATTGTTTATGTAACTAATGTAAGTAAAAATATTTAAAAGGGCGTTTTTATGCATAATTTTCAGTAAATTTGTGGCAGTCTATTGACGAGCATTTTAGAAAATTTAAGCAATTCAGAAACAATACCTCGTCACTGGCAGTTATACAAGTTTTCTCCAGGGTATAAGACAGTTTATAGTACATTCGGAATAAGAATAAAAAACATTTTTATCATTCATTACATTTTCTGAACTTTACACACCTGTTGAATTTACAGAGAAAATCGCGTATGGTACTATAAACATAAATCACACCCTATAGAATGCTTTTATCAAACTATTAACATACAAACCAATCATTATAGTATTTTTTACGAAATTCTCGGCAAAACAAATTGTTTTACTATTCCACTTTTTAAATACTCCAAATTTGAACAATTAGGACACTCCCGAGAAGAACAATAATTTTAATTCTTTTTATTATTCAAGTTGAATATAAAGTTCACTTCTTAAAATACAATTCCACAAATAATTAACGCGAATGAAGTAATCCATGACTCCAAATAATCTTTATGAAACAATTGAAACATTTTGGCCATTTTTATTCTTATTTCTTACTTTAGCTTGTCCAATGGTAAAATTTTCTGTCGCAAATCTGTTTTGAGTGTCTGTCAGATATACAATATGTTGTGGTAGTTAAACATTGTTCGCACAGACTCGGATAATGTTGTAATGTTTATCGACTTTTTAGAATTAAATAAAAAGTGTTTCTAAATTCAAAATATATTTTTTTATATATAATTTCACAATTTACAATTTTGAAAACATTAGTTTATAAATTACGCCTTTTTGGGGACTTTTTGTAAAACGATATCTATTATCATTTGTTTTTTACTTATTATATTAATGAGCACACCTATAAACTGAAACAACCTGTATATTCAAAATAAATATCAGAAATCTGGATTTTAAAGTATACAACTAGTGAAGTTCGTTTCCTTATGCTACACGGGCGCGTAAAAATTGTCAAAAGAGGCGCTGCTATTTGAGTGACAATAGGGAGATTTTAAGCCACTTATTTGAGCAACGTTAAACGTTATCCGTTATACTGATCATGCGCAGTAGTTCGAAAATAACCGCCGCCATTATTCGCCGCCATTATTCTATGGCTAGAAATTGTCCTCAATGATTTGGGATCGAGAGGGATTATCCCTCTTTATCCTGCCTCATCTCGTGTAGGCCTGGACAGCCTTCGTAGGTGGGCCCCATCCGTCGTCTACCCCGACCGCAAATGCGGCCGGTGTAGGCGCTTTGTGGGACCTCCTTTTGTCCTGGCTGGGCCCCGCCGGCTAGGGCCCTTTCTTCTGGCGCTCTTCTTGCTTCGCCGGCTCGTCTGTGTAAACCCCGGGGGTAGTGTCATGTTTATGTGTGGTATGGTTGGGTAGGGTAGTGCGGCTATGCAGCCTGGGATGCGCTTTGCTAAGGTGGCCCTTAGGCTAGCGCGGGAGGGGAGGG